ATTTCTTTAGGAGTGGAATTGCTGGGTTATATAACTCTGTGTTTAACTTTTTGAGGAGCTGCCAAACTATTTTCCACAATAGCTCTACCTTTTGACATGCCCACCAGCAATGTATGAGGGTTCCAGTTTCTCCACATGCTCACCAGCACTATATTATCTGTCTTTTTTATTGTACCCATCCTAATGGTCATGAAGTAATATCTCATTGTGGTTTTGATTAGCATTTCCCTGATGGTTAATGATGCTGAGTTATCTTTTCACGTGCTTCTTGGTCATTTGTGTATCTTCTTTGGAGAAATGGCTGTTCAAATCCCTTGCCAACTTTTAATTGCTTATTTTTACTGTTGAGCTGTAGTACTTTATAAACTCTAGATATTAGACTCTTATCAGGTATATGGTTTGTAAATATTTCTCCCATTCTATGGGTTGTCTTTTCACTTCCTTGATAGTGCCCTTTGACACAGAAAGTACCCTTTGACACACAAAAGTTTTTGATTTTCATGAACTTCAGTTTATCTATTTTTATTTCCTTCTGTTTTCTTCTAACAGCTTTGTAGTTTTAACTCTTGAATTCATTTTGAGTTAATTTTTGTATGTGGTGTGAGGTACAAGTGCAAATTCTGTTTTGCATGTAAAATCCAGTGGTCCCAGCACCAGTTGTTGAAAAGACTGTTTTTTTTTCCCTATTGAAAGGCCTTGGCACCCTTGTCAAAAATCAATTGACCATGAGTTCATTTCTGAACTCTCAATTCTATTCCACTGATCTATGTGTATCTATTCTATACTAGTACCATACTGTCTGTTACTATAGCTTTGTGTTAAGTTTTGAAATTGGAAAGTGTACTCTCTTTGTTTTTTTTTTTCCAAGATTTTAAGAGTTTGTGAAAGGTTGGTGGAAATTCTTTAAACTTTTGGTAGAATCAACCAGTAAAGCCATCTCATCCTGGACTTTAACTTATGGGAAGTTGTTTTGAATACTAATTCAATCTCTTTGCTTGTTACAGGTCTATTTAGATTTTCTGTTAATTTCTAAGTCAGTTTTAGTAATTTGTGTCTTTCTAAAATATTCAAACTTTTTTTTTCTAGTGGTTGCCCTGGAGACCGCAATATACATTTAGAACTAGTCCAAGTTCACTTTTAAATAACACTATACTGTTTCACAGGTAGTACAGGTACCTTATCATACCAGAGTATTCCTAAGTCCTCTCGCCCATCCCTTGTATCATCACTGTCATTCATTTCACTTATACATGAGCATCATAAGCATTATATGTATACTTATGTACATAAGCATATATAATCTAATAGTGTTTCTATTACTATTTGAACAAACTGTTATCTATTAGATCAAGTAAGAATAAAAATATAAACGTTTTTATTTTTTTCTTCACTTATTTCTTCTCTCATGCTTTCTTTCTTTTATGTAGATGTGAATTTCTGACCTATAACTTTTTCCTTCTCTTGGAAGACCTTTTAAAAAAATATTTCTTGTAAGGCAGGTGTACTGGCAAAAAATTCCCTCACTTTTTATATGTCTGAGAAAGTCTTTATTTCTCCTTGGCTTTTAAAGGAGAATTTCACAGGGTATAGAATTCTAGGTAGGTGGGATTTTTTCCCTCAACATTTTAAATATTTTACTCCAATCTCTTGCTTGCATGGTTTCTGAGAAGTCAGATATAATTCTTATCTTAGTTCCTCTATAAAAAAGCTCTCCCCCCAACCTCCAGCTTCTTTCAAGATCTTTTCTTTATCATTGCTTTTTCTGGAGTTTGAATATGATATACCTAGGTGTTTTTTGTTTTTGTTTTGTTATTAATCCTCCTTGGCATTCCCTAAGCTTCCCAGATCTGTGGTTTGGTGTCTGATTCAATTTGAGGAGATTTTTAGTCATTATTGTTTCAAGTATTTCTTCTGTCCCTTTCTCTCTTCTGCTCTGGTGTTCTCATCACACACATTACACATTTAGTAGCTAGCTGTCCCACAGCTCTGAGACATTCTGTTTCATTTTTCCAGTCTTTTTTCTGTTTGCTTCTCAGTTTTGGAAGTTTCTATTGATATATCCTCAAGCTCAGATTTTTTCCTGAGTGGTGCCGTTTACTGTAATGAGCCCATGAAAGGCATTCTCCATTTCTAGTAGAGTGTTTTTGATTTCTAGCATTTCATCTGAATTCTTAGTATCTCTCTGCTTACAATACCCATCTGTTCTTGCATCTTGTCTTCTTTTTCCATTAGACCCCTTGGCATATTAATCATAGTTCTGTTAAGATCCTGGTCGGATAATTCCAACATTCCTGCCATATCTGAGTCTCATTCCAGTGTCGGCTCTTTCTCTTCAAACTGTGTCTTGCATTTTAGTATGCTTTCTTATTTTTTGTTGGGAGCCAGACATAATGTAGGAAATAGGAACTGTGGTAAATAGGTATTTAATAATGTGGTGAGGTGTAGGGACAGGGGAAGTGTTCTAGAGTCCTATGATTAGGGCTCAGTCTATGGGTGACTTTATGTCCTTAGGTTGTGAACTTCGCCAGTGCTTCCCAGTTTTTTCCTTCCTTAAGTGGGATAAAAAGGCTGGAGGGGGCTGGAGAGGTCTTTCCCTTCCCCCAGGTGTGTTAGGCTCTGATAAAACCCCAACACGTTAGCCTCTGGTAAAAATCGTTTCTCTCTTGAGTGCAGACTTTGTTGCAAAGAACAGAATTCTCTGGTGTATCTCAAAATGGCTGTTTTTCTCTTCACCCTTCTGAAGCACCAGGGGGACTTTCCTCCTATCTTTATTGTGAGAACGTGGGAATGCTACTGGAGGTAAAACTCACAGAAGTGTAGATATGGTCCCGTATGACAAGGTCTCTGGAGTTTTTAACTCTCAGGCTTGTCTGCACTGAGCCCCTAGCTATTCATCAATTACAGCTCAGGTTTCCTGCCCTTATACTGATTCCTGTGGAGGCTTCTTCTCATGGTTTCTGCTCCAGCAAGTTTTGGCTCTCTGTATCTGCCCGTCTCCCCAATTTTGGGGGTAGCATTTTCCCCTGTAACCTCAATTCCCTGACAGATGTAAGAAAAGTTAATGTTAAATTTTTTTTCAGTTTGTTTGGTTATTATTAGGATGGAATAATGACTTTGAAGCTCCTTAAGTGCTGTACCAGAAACCAGAAATCCTTTCTTCTTTTTTGATTTAGACATTTGCAGCTGTATATTTTAACGATTTTTAAATCATATTTTATTATATTTTAACTCTTTATATTAAAACACTGTTTTAACTACTTTCCATAAGTTTTTTTCATCTTGTTTTCTTTTTTATTCATCTCAAGGTAGTTTCCAATTTCCTCGGTTCTGTAAGGTGTAACATTCTAGTCCATCACTGGATTAATTTCAGAGCTCATTAGTACTTCCAAGTCCCCAGATTTACACTTACACCTTTAGCGGGTAGTTCCTGAGGAATACAGGAACTGAAAGTGAACATGAGTGGCTGGGGAGGAAGGGCTACAACTGAAGTCCTAGCTTTTGAAGCCACCTTGTGGCCTGTGGCCTTTTAAACCAGTGGTTTTCAACTAGGGATGATATTGCCCTTCAGGGGACATTAGGTGATGTTTGGAACATTTCTGGTTGCCATAACTGGGATGCGGGGGTGGCATGCAACTGGCATCTAGTGGACACAGGCCAGGGATGTTGGCCTACAGCATTCTACAGCACACAGGGTAGCCCCCCCACACAACAGAATTGTCTGCTCTGGAATCTCAAAAGTGCCGCCATTGAGAAACCCTTTTTTAACCCTTTAAACTGGTGGGACTGTTTCCCACTCAGCCAGCACCTGCCTGTACCGTGTCTCACGACCTCTGCATAAAGGTCTCTGAGGCAGGTGAAATGTCACAATCTTAGATGAGGCAAGTGAAGCCTTAAAACTGAAGCAACCTGTTGGCCAGTAGCAGAGTCCAGACACCACCCTCAGGACCAGCTGGTTCCCAGAGAGCCCACAGCTATCTGGGCCTCCACTGACCTCTAAAAAGCACATCATCGTGCATTGTCTTGTGAGTATATGTCTAGCATGTCGGTGGGCCTAGCTAAGAATGCTCCGCTTGTCATGTGACCTTGTTTAATGACACCCTCTGCGAGTAGAGCGGAAACTTCCCGCAGGCAGCATGGCATTGGCCCAGAGCAGGCACTCGGGAAAGTTTTGTTGAGTGAATGAGGAGATGAAATTAGAGAAAATATACCCAAATTGAGCTTGGTTATCACTAGGAGCTTGAAGTGAAGGTTGTAGCTGCCTTCGGAAGACGCTGGGAAGTGGGGAGTGACTTTAGGACTGGTGAGGGAAGGGAAATTGTGGCCCTGTACATTGGTTGTTTTGTCTATAGGATTTTAATGTGCTTATCATTAATAATACTGGTCAGTATTATTTCCCTTATAAATTCCTCACATTGCAACTTCTTTTTCTCTTTGGCTTGTTCACACTAGTAGTACCTTTTACCTTCATTAAAAGACCAATTATAACTCTGCTTAAAAATTCACTGTCCTCAGATTTTATCTTCTAAAGGTCTTATCAGAAACATAAAGAAAACTCTTTTGTGATATTTGGTATCAGTTATCATTAAATTATCCTGACTTCAAATCTCTATGTCTTAAGGTAGCTGGTCTCAATTTTCTCCTCCGTAAAATGGGAATAATGATCCTTTGTTAGTTAATTGAGACCTTTCCTGAGGATTAAATGATTGAAAGTGCATGAAGGCATTCTGAACAGTACTGTGGAAATGGCAAGACCCCTCAGTTATGGGTAATTCTGAAAAATTGTGTCCGTATGTGCAATGCACTATAACTAGTTGTCATATAATTATTAAAGGAGTTTGGTAGAATGAAACCAAGTACATTCAGATTTTGTGTTCCTTACTTACAGTGCTAGTTCCATTACATAGGACTTTCCATTTTTAATGTAGTTAAAAGATCTAAAGCTATATTTTACCTTGGACTGTCCTGAAAATTACAATATCCTGACCTTTGTTTCTCTGTAGGTGTTACAGAACATCTTGGACACTGAAAAAGATTATGCTAAAGAACTCCAGTCCCTCCTTGTTACTTACCTAAGACCCCTGCAGTCCAACAACAAGTAAGATTTATATTTTAAACCCCTTGCTAAATAAAGCAAGATAATGTCAGCATATGGAGTCATTATTCTTATGTCACTGAATAATTGATTTTGCCCTTTAGAAGAATTTCCACAGATCACAGGTTGCCAAGAACATGGTCAGGACAACAGAAATTATGCAAGATGTTGCTTTTGGAGAGCTTGGCTCTCTTTCTCTTCTGGCTGTGGAAGGAATGAGCAAATTCCCACTTCTGTCTGTCACAATTTTTATGTTGTACATTTTAAAAGTCATATATCTGTGTTTTACCTTGCAGAAAAAGCAATCACTGGTGTTTTTATGCAGAAAGCACATAAACTGGAAATTTTTGTGCTCACTCTGACCTTTGCTTGCCAAGGCAGAAACTCCTTCCCATGCTCTGAGGGGGAAAGAGTGTGGCATTTTGTGAATGTTCTCAAGAGCAATTGAAGCCCGTATTTCACCCAGGCAAAAGGGAATAATAAAGAGATGTTAAAATGGTTTTTAAAGTAAAATGTTCAAACAGTGTCCTGGTCTTAGAATTCTGGAGTGATTGTCTGGGGCCTGAATCAAAAACTTAAGTTTTCACAAAAGAAAAATATTAACCATTCATTTTTTTGTGTGCTTGTAACATGAAATATATAACAAGTAGTGGCTAAATGCATTCATTTCTATGTTTATTTTAGTTGATTAAACTTTACTAGATATTATGATCTATAAGTCAAATGGAAAATGTACCAGTCAGCCCCTATAATGGACAACAAAAGCTTCCCCTTTTACCTCAGTAAGAGTCTGATTTGCTGGACAGTTGCCTAAACTATGGACTTCAGGCTTAAGTAAGCTTACTATGTTTCACTATTTTTCTCCCTTTTTCTAAATCATGCTTACTTAGGTATAAATCTTGCTGAATTTCCCACTTGGATATTTTCCTGGCACTGTGGGAATCCTACTTAAGTATAAAAGGATTTTGTATTCCTGTGTTTTGTAAGAGTTTGAACATGATCAACCACAAAGTGTTCTTTGTTATTATTATATAAAAGATGGAGTGTTCTGTGAATCCTAGTTCTTACAGCTAAATGGAACATCAATGACTCATTGGGTCTAGTGCCTTGGAAGAAATGACTATCCCCATTGAATAAGTAAGAGAAGCCCAGAGAGGCTTACTGCCATGACCATCACACAGCCAGGAAGTGGCCAGACCGGACCCACTGTGCCTCCTGCCACGGAGTGAAATGTGCCCTCTGTTTCCTGGAGGTGACAGGCGGAGGAGGAGAGGGAGACTGAAGTGGTAACCCTGGGAGGGCAGATGGTAAGATTTCAAGTAAAGGAGTGACTGCTGCGCAGTCAAGAGCCATGAGAGGCAAGGCAAGGAAAAGCACGGGGGCAGAGGAGGTGAGAACCCTGGCTCAGAACGGCACCACTCTCCGGAGACTCCGACTGCAGTCAGAGGACGCTTCCCTGCGCTCTGTCTTGTAGGCTCCGGAGCAAGTTGAGCAAATTGTCTCAAGTGATTCGTTTATTGTCTGACTGAGAAGGGGCCAAATGAGCCCCCAGCCAGGTGGCAGTCAGGTTCTTGTTACCATGAGCGAGCGACAGCTAGGGAAGCTGACTGGCTGAAAGTTTCACTTTTGAAACCCATAATAGGGGTTTTCCAGTTGGTGGTTCAAGAGAGCATTATAGCGAGGAACTGGGAGCTTTCTATTCTCTGGGGTTACTGGTAACATTTGTTTGGCTCTTCCTTTTCTTTGTCAGCAAAACATCACTCTTGGAAACACTCCCCTAATTGTTACTGTATTAAGGAGAAAGAGCATATGGCAGATGCTGGCCTTTTAAGTAAATCTTCAGAAAAGTTTCCTTCCAAAAGTGGTTAAGAGCATGGACTCTGGAGCTACAAGGTTTTGATTCAACCTTTGCTGGCTTTGTGATGTTGGGTGATTTGCTTAACCTCTCTGTGCCTGGATTCCTTACATCTAAAATGAAGACAGCAACAGTACCTACCTCATAAATCTGTTGTCAGGTTAAAATGAGTTATTATTTGGAAAATGCTTGCCTAAGTGCTGCCTATAATTGTCCACCTTGCCTTTATTTCACTCCATTCTACTCCCCATATCAACCAACCAGCTAGTACTATTTTCTTTCCCCTACTGCTTCTCATAAAGGTTTCCTTTGATTGATGAACGTTTTAAATTAGGAGAAACTGGATTTTGCTATTTTCTCCATGCAGTCTGTGAACATATATAATATCTTTCAGATACTTTCCCAGCTCTTCTAGAAGAGTACGCCAAAGCTTTTACAATTATTCCCAGCATGGATGTATCTTACCTATTTAGATACTTAGATATGAAGAACGTGTTATTCATTTACTCATTGCATTGTAAAATACCTAAATGTCCCTTATAAGCATGAGTTTTCTTTAGGTTCATTATTCTTATTAAAGAAAAGGGAAGCCAAGGAAAGAATCTTTAGAAACTTGCTTAAGACCACAGAGTTGGTGTAAATTAAAAAGCAAAAGTTAAAGTATAAATTGCTTCCCTTGCCCCATGTGCCAGTTATCAGCCAACTGTCGGCTAACTGGACTAGAGAGAGATAACTAGAGTCATCCTCCAGGTCGATTCACGGAAGCCACATATGTATTGTTTTCAGCCTGAGTACTGTGGAGTTTACATCTTTACTGGGAAACTTCGAGGAAGTATGCACCTTTCAACAGACACTCTGCCAAGCCTTGGAAGAATGTTCAAAGTAAGTGTTGCATTAGGATAGCCAGCAGTGTTGTTTTGTGTGTTTTGTTCCCCCTTTTAACTGTTGTCTTGGGTAGGGGTGCTTTATTTTCATACATTTGTTACATCTTTGGTAAATTGTCCGAGTATAGAAAACAATGCACTAGGTAGTGGTATTCGTAGGATCAAACCACTAGTTTTCTATCAGTGCTCTACATGTAGTCAGTTACTTCTGACTTTATTTAAAAATCCTGTCGGTTCACAGCTTCTGGTCAATGAGACAAGGAAGGTCTCCATTGACAATGGATGATGCCTTTGACATTGATTAAATATTTTCTTTTGAAAACTGCAAGATTTACTTGGATGAGTTATTCAGATTATTCATTCAGTTTCACAAGCTTATTCTTCTCCTTTAATCGCTCCTGGTATCATGGCAATTATATTAACGATTGAAACACGTAAAGAGTGGGGAAAGGAAAAGTATATCTTTATGTGAACCACAACACATACTTGATGTCTAGCTAGATTGTTGAGATGTTCAACTTCATACTGCAGGAGGAACTGTAATGATTATCAACCACTCAATTTCTGTAGCAAGATTAATTTTCCATGCAGTGTATCTTGGAGAAGTTGGTGATGTTCTCCGTCATTAGGGAAGTTGGGGTGATTGCCTGTTTCCCGAGCTTTATGGGACATGGGTGGTTGTCCAGGGAGGAGGACGGTGAGAGGCCACAGTAAAGAGACCTGAGGAGCCACTCCAAACGCTGATAGGGATCCAGCTTATTGATGTGGAAAGATGGTCACTGAGAAGAGCAGATTACAAATTAGATTTGTAATCTTCGTTTTCCATTTTATAGAGAGATATGTAGAAGAAAGTCCAAGGAATATGCCAAAATTGTTACAATAGGTATCTCCGAATGGTGGAATCCTGAGTAATTTTTTTTCTTTCATATGCTTTTCTGATTTTTCTACAAATGAAAACAGGTGACTTATAATTTAAAAAATTAATTTTAAAAGTCTTGAGGCCACCCTGCTTAGCAGCTACCAGGCTGCTAAGACTACATAATAGTCGTCTGTGCTGTGTCATTTTTAGATTTGATTAGTTTCGTCTGTACTTGAACTTCATATAAATTAGCCAAGAATATTTTTAGTGTGTCCAGGTAAAAATTTGAATATTATAATTTGAATAAGCATCTTAAAAGAAAACCTACCTACTCGTTCCAAATAAGTACCTTACCCTGTGCACTGGTGCTATGTTTGGTACTTACAGTTTAAGGCAGTGGTCAAGAACTTGCATTTCATGGGTAAAATGATTATAACATAGTTTTTCTTACAACTTTGTAAAAGAATTCAGAAGGTTTGCATGTTGCCAGGTTTCACTGGAATCATCTCCTTCTTTCTTGTTTCCTATTTTACATTCTGTGTTTTACTTGTTTTACTTACAGGTTTCCAGAAAACCAACACAAAGTAGGAGGTTGTCTACTGAATCTCATGCCTCATTTTAAATCCATGTATCTGGCTTACTGTGCAAATCACCCTTCAGCTGTAAATGTGCTCACCCAGCACAGGTAAATCATTAACATTCCCCCAAACAGGCTGTTTTCCAGTGAGCTCTTTTCCTAGGGCTGCTGATTTGGAAATCCAAAGTCTCCAGTTGAACTTGGGATTAACTTGCTTCATCATGCTAGGAATCGGTTCACTGTTATATGGATTCATTGTCTGTTAAGGCCATGAGTAATTTACTGAGCACCTACAATGTGCAAGGTCCTATATGGGCTCATGGGGGTACAGTAGTGAACCAGGAAGAGAAGGCTCTCCCCTCATGGAGCATAGAGTCTTGAGGGATATACAGACAGGCAATTAAATGGTTTAAACATGTTGTATTACAAAAGGGTAATTGAAAGGATGCTGTGAGACTTAGCTTTGCAGTGTCATCTTAGTGTGGGTGGGGGAAGGATCCGGGAAGACCTTCCTGAAGTAAAATTCTGTTAAGATCCAGTGCTTTGGCCTTCCCCGGCCACAGTGAACATTTTATCTGAGTTGCTGTCAAAAAGCTAACCCGCATAGCGCATAGGTTCATCTCCTTTCTACTGTGCATTTGTCTGGTAGAGGATGTCTCAAAGAGTCCACTGGCTAAAAGGCAGGTGTTAACATGGAGAGGGAGAAGGAAACTAACGTTGTGAGCTTTGTGGCAGGTACCTTAAGCAAAGGGCTCTGATAACAATTATACATAAACATAAATTATTTCAGGTTCATGGAGAACAACACAGTAGTGCCTCCTTTAAGAGTCCTGGCAAGGGACCCAGAGAACTACTTCTCTCTCTAGTCTTCCTTACCCTCTGATTACCCAGCCCTGACGCATTTCCTGACACATCCATCTCGGCCAGGATACAGTATGATCAACTTACAGGTGCATTTTATTTTTATTAAAAATTTTTTTTATTAAGGTATTATTGATATACACTCTTATGAAGGTTTCACATGAAAAAACAATGTGGTTACTACATTTACCCATATTATCAAGTCCCCACCCATATACCCCAATGCAGTCAATGTCCATCAGTGTAGTAAGGTGCCACAGATTCAATATTTGTCTTCTCTGTGCTACACTGTTTTCCCCATGACCCCTCACACCATGTGTACTAAACATAATACCCCTCAATCCCCATCTCCCTCCCTCCTGACCAGCCCTCCCATGCCCCTCCCCTTTGGTAACTGCTAGTCCCTTCTTGGAGTCTGTAAGTCTGCTGCTGTTTTGTTCCTTTAGTTTTGTTTCAGTTATACCCAATAAATGAGGGAAATCATTTGGCACTTGTCTTTCTCTGCCTGGCTTATTTCACTGAGCATAATATTATACACTCTTATGAAGGTTTCACATGAAAAAACAATGTGGTTACTACATTTACCCATATTATCAAGTCCCCACCCATATACCCCAATGCAGTCACTGTCCATCAGTGTAGTAAGATGCCACAGATCCACTGTGTGCCTTCTCTGTGCTACACTGTTTTCCCCATGACCCCCTACACCATGTGTACTAAACATAATATTAAAGGTGCATTTTAAACTTTGAAATCATTGTGTAGAGGATTCTGGAGGCTGCTTGAGATTGAAAAGAATATTCTTCTCTCAATTCAGCCCAGACTTGAACTCTCAGAGCTAGGCGAGGGCACTAGTTTACACCAACCCTCAGAAGTGGTGGAAATTTTGGTTTTCTCCTGCTTTGTTAGGACCTTTCTTGACTTTATAGAGCTGTTATGTAAGGATACTTTAAAGGTAGAATTCTGTAGCTCCTACTTCAAGGTCCCTTGTTCTGATCAGAATTGTGAGCTTTTGTGGAATAGTAAACATGGAAGTTGAAGTTTAAAGAAGGAGAAGCCAGAACTCTGGGTTATTTAGGCAAGTGGCTCAACTGCTTGGAGCTAATATTAGCTAATAATAACACTGACAATGTGCCAGGCACATGATGTAAAAGCCTATGATGGAGTTACTATTATTACCATCTCTGCTTTACAGATAAGACATTAGAAGGTCAACTAATCTGCCCAAGAACTCATAGCTGTCAAGTGGTTGAGCCAGAATTAGAATCCAGGTCTGTCAGACTTCTAAAACAATTTTTTTGTGAAGATTTATGTTTTACCTGCAAAGAAAATAATCTAAATGAAAATTTAAAGAATTACAATAAAATGAACACCCCTGCACACACCACGCAGCTTAAGAAATGATTATTACCATTTCCTCTGTAACAGCTTTGTTAAATAAAAATTCGCATGCCAGACAATTCACCCATTTAAAGTGTACAGTTAAATTATTTGTAGTATATTCAATATATTCAGGGTTATGCAAGCATCACTGCAGTCAGTTGCAGAATGTTTTCATCCCTCCCTCCCCAAGCAAACCCCTGCTCATTAGCAGTCACTCTCCATTGCCAGCCCAAAGCAACCACTAAAATACTTTGTTACTGTGGATTTGCTTAGTCTGGACATTTCATTTAAGTGGAATCACACAGCACAGTGCCTTTTGTGTTTGGCTTCTTTTACTTAACATAATGTTTTCAAGGATCATTCCTGTTGTAGCATTCATCACTACCTCGTTTTTTAAATTGCCAAAATACATTCGATTATGTGGGTATCACATAATGTTCTTCCATTTCACCAGTTCATGGACATATGGATTGTGAATAGTGCTGCTATGAAAATATATGTGGACATATGTCTTCATTCCTTTTGGGTAGATACGTAGGAGTAGAATTGCTGGATCATAAGGTTAATTCTATGTTTTACTTTTATAGGAACTATCAGATTGTTTTCCAAAGTGGCTGCACCAATTTGTATTCTCACCAAGAGTATAAGAAGGTTCCCTTTTCTCCACATCCTCACCAACATTTGTTTTTATCAGTCTTTTAGATTACAGCCATCCTACTACTACTTGATTTCCATTTCCCTAATGAATAATGATGTTGGGCATCTTTCATGTGCTTATTTTTTTTATATCTTCATTGAGGGAAATGTCTATTCAGAGCCTTTGCCTATTTTTAAATTGGGTGGTTTGTCTTATTGAGAAATTATTCACAACCATAATCTCACCATTTTAAAGTGTACAACTGAGTGGTTTTTAGTATACTCATGAGGTTGTGTAACCATTACCACTATTTACTTCCAGACTGTTTTCATCACCCCCAAAAAAGAGCTCATACCCAGTAGCAGTCACTGTCCATTTCTCCATTGGCTAGTGATATGGAGTGTATTTTCACGTGCTTGTTGGCTATTTTAATATCTTCTTTGGAAATATGTCTATTCAAATCCCTTGCCCTTTTTTTAGTTGGGTTATTCATCTTTTCATTGTTGAGTTATATGTAATGCTTCTTTATATACTCTTATCAGATATATGATTTGCAAAAATTTTATTCTACTTTGTGGGTTGTCATTTCACTTTCTTGATGGTGTCCATTGAAGCACAAAAGTTTAATTTTGATGATGTCCAAATAATTATTTTTTCCTTTTGTTGTGCATGCATTTGGTGTTACATCTAAAAAACTGTTGCCTACTCCAGGTAATGGAGCTTTATGCCTAAGAGTTTTATAATGTTTGCTTTCACATTTAGCTCTTTAATCAATTTTTTGAGTAAATTTTTGCATATGGCGTGAGGCAGGGGTCCAGCTTCGGTCTTTTGCATATGGATATCCTATTGAACCAGCACCATTTGTTGATTCCTATTCTTATAAATTTGTTGCATTATGTTTTATGTCCCAGAATTTGATCTTTCTTGGTGAATGTACTATGTGCATTTGAGAAGAATTTGAATTTTGCTGTGGTTGAATGAAGTAAGCACTCTAAATGTCAATTAGATCTTCTAGACTGATGGGTGCTGTTCAGTTCAGCTATATCCTTACTAATTTTCTACCTGCTGGATCTATTGATTACTGATGAAGGGATGTTGAAGTCTCTAGCCATAATAGTGGATTTATCTATTTCTCCTTTCAGTTCTATCAGTTTTTGCCTCATGTATTTTGATGTTTTCTTATCAGGTGTATTCATGTTAAGGATTGTTTTGTCTTGTTGGAGAATTGGCTCTTTTTTCTGTAATGCTCCCACTTTATCCCTGATAATTTCCCTTGTTCCGGTGTCAGCTTTTTCTGAAATTAATATAGCTAGTCCAGCTGTCTCTTGATTACTGTAATACATCTTTTTCCATCCCTTTACTTTTGATCTGCATCTTGTAGACAATATACAGTTGAGTCTTGTTTATTTACCCACTCTGACAGCCTCTGTTTTTTAACTGACATATTTAGATCATTTACATTTAAGGTAATTATTGATATAGTTGGATTAATATTTACCATGTTGTAACCATTTTCTATAAATTCTTTGTTTCTTTACTACCTACCCTACTGCCTTCTTTGGTTTTAAACAGTTTATATTATTTTCTGTTCTCTTCTCTCCTAGCATATTATACTTCTGAAAAAATTTTAGTGGTTTCCCCTGAGTTTATAATATCCATTTACCACTAATCTAATAGAACTTTCACTAACACTTTACCATTTCATAGGTAGTACAGGTATCTTATAACAGAGTATTCTCAATTCTTTCCCCCATCTCTTATAACGTTGTTCTCATTCATTTCGTTTATCATAAGATAAAACCACCCAATATATTGCTATTATTATTTTGAACAGTTATCTCTTAGAGCCATTAAGAATAAGAAAAAAGAAAAGATTTTATTTTCCTTGCATTTATCATTCTCTGACACTCTTCCTTTTTTATGTATGTCCAAGTTTCCTTGTCTTTGAAAAACTTCTTTTAGCAATTTTTGCAAAGGTGGTATACCAGAGACCATTTCCCTCAGTTTTTGTTTGCCCAAGAAAGTTTTCTCCTCCACTTTTTCTCTTTTTTCCTCTTATTTTTATTGTGGTAAAAAAACATACAGCATGAGATCTACCCTCTTAACAAAAATTTTTAAGTGTACAGAACTGTACACAAGGGGAATTTTCTCTGATCTTCACCATGAGAAGTTGCTTGGGCGCGTGGATGTAAAACCCACAAAAGTGTTGGGGTCCTCAAGACGGCGT